TCTTCCCTAAAAATACCATGAAAAAGCAGGTTTCATAGATGCATTTCCAATCTATGACAACACTCCAGTTACATTACAGTTATAACAACTCTAACCAAAATAAAACTTTAAACCTCCAAGAAAACATAGCTTTTGTACTCACGGCAATCTTCCTGAAGAGCAGCTGTACAAGAAGATCCTCCTCAAGAAGCCACATTGCACATCCTCTGTAGAAACATCTGCAGACTACAGATACAAACCCTCTGCTTCTTTTCTCCTTTCTTGCTTTCCTTTTTTTCTCCTTTCTCTTTTCACCCAGCAGTCCCACTGCCCCTTACCACTCAGTGGCCTCAGCTGTGCACACAGGTGCAGGTGATCAGGCTCTGACCACCTTTGTCCCTTACAACTCAGTGGACTCAGCTGTACCCAGGTCCCTCACAGGTGCAGGTGGTTAGGCTCAGATCACCCTTTGCACCTGGCCCAAGAGAGACAATTCCCTGTCCCAACTCTGCAGTTTGTTGTGGGGGGTAGTGGGGCAAAGGCTATTGAACAGTTGATGTCTGGTAAATAAGCAGGTATTGTGTTAATCAGTTACTTTTTCAGAAGACAAATACGTTTAAAAGAAAGAAAAGCAACCAGCTGCCTTTTAGAGATCATTGCAAAGAAAACACCCCATAGTTCCTCAAGGAAATAACCAATGTGCTACTAGGCAGTGTGAGGGATCTCACCCACTGTGCAGAGAGGCTGATAACAGGCCAGTGTGGTAGTAGGATTCTGAGCATACTTAAACACTTTGATTCTGCTAATTACAAGTAGAAGAGTTTTATAGGAAGACTACAGGAAAAGGTCCATACTGGGAAAAGATCAAAGTGACATGACACTGAAAGGCAGCATGCAAGTGGAGGGATAGGGCTATCAGGGCAAGAGGCTTGGGGGCAATGCTGATAAAATATGACCAGCAGCAGCTAAAGGCAGAGGAAATGTAAGATGTGGGAAACCGAGTATTCAGCTGCTCTTTGCTGTTTGGAAATTATTTACTTATATGCATTTTTATATCACTTTTCAGGGATGTTTTCTCATATTCAGAGGTCACCAGTTCTGAAGAAGAAAGACTCATTTGAAGATTTAATAAGTATCCATATACATAAAAGTAGATCTATATTACTCGGAAGAGTCATTGGAAAGCTAGGAAAAAAGAGGAAATTACACATTTAGTCTAAGATTTTGATTTGTGGATAATTTTTAACTACTTCTATTTATTTTATTTTGTATTTTAATCCCCATTGATGTCAATTCATGTGGTGGAAGAAGGCATGTAACCTCAAGCATGACATCTCTGATTAACTTGGACTTTTGGGTTTTCTTAATCACCAATGAATTGTCTCCTTACTAAACTGCATGATTTATAAGCACCAATGAATTGTCTCCTTACTAAACTGCCTACTTTAATCTGTGTGTATATCAGGCTTCTTGTAATACATGTGATCTGTTCAAACTATTGTCTTTTGGGTACTAAAACAAGAAATAACTGATTCTTCAATAAAATATAGACAAGCAGAGAAGGAATTTGTCAAAAAACCTCCACTGGCTACAAGACAGGATTAGAGAGGCGATGGTGATGTTTGGTTGTATGCAGAGCTGTACACTTGTACAGAGCAACCCCTGCTCAGAGACTACAAGAGACATCATCTTACTGAAGAAAAATGGTACATATTTCTACATGAAAATTACCTTCCAAGAATGTTTTCAGTTTTGCAGTAAAAGGGTTAACAGATTTTATCAGCTCCTCTGCTTTCACACTTAAAATGTTTAATCACAAAAATTCTCATCCTTAACTTGCATTTGCTTCTTTTTTAGTTTACAAGTTCTTTGTAGAAAAAACAACCTCTTCTGACTCTTATTGATAACCCTAGCAAGCAATTTGATATTAAACTAATGCAAAATAACTTATGGCAGGTAACATTTGATTGCTTTTATGGCATAAATTATTTCCATTGCCAGATTGGCTGGATGAAACAATGAATTTCATCTTTCCAGGGCTATTACATTTAGTTGTTCATTCAATGTTTCTTTTCTTGAGCATGTAGCAATATTTGGTGGTTTGTTTGTTTTTTATTTTTTTTTTTTCCAAAATGCCCACAGAAAAATGGGCTTCCTCGTTGTTCATCAACTTGCAGAAATAAGTTCGAGTCACAAAACATGTAAAGAAATCTTGAAATGGTTACTGGCATGAACAAAATAAGGCTTAATCACAGTCCCATTGAGGGAAATCCTGACTTAAGGAAGAAAATAAAAAACTGTATGAGGGCTAGCAGCTTCAATGGCACTGAATTTGTGCTTCAAGTTAAGCATGCAGCAAACCATTTCAATGTTTAAGAGAGAACACTAAAGCAGGATAAACACAGGAACACACAGTTTATTGTACTCAACAACAGACCCCCAGTTGCAGCCACAGCCTATGAGAGTGCTTTGCTGCCATGTGGGAGGGCAGCAGGAGCATTGTTACAATAGATCTGCTCTCTCCTCTATTGATGGTGCTCATTAATTACATTGTTGTCCCTAAAAGCCTTATTGTTGCAAATTTGTATCAATATAAGAGAGTCTTCACTCAGTCCCTACAGTCACCAAGACCAGCACCTGACAAAGAGTGTGAAAGGCTGGATGCTCAGCCCAGGAGGATTGGTATTGGAGTAGAGCAGATGTTACCTGTTGCCATACACTCCCAAGCTCCAGCAAGTGTGAAAGCAGACAGATTATCTGAACAGGTCCTGTTTAACTGAGATGCATTTCGACTGGGCCCTTTGGGCACCTCTTGGTGATTCCACTTTAGATAGGTCCCACCTGCAACAACAAGATCCCTTAGGAAATGGCTCATTCAGCTTTCTTCCTCTCTTCAGACAGAAATACCACTATGGACCAAGACAACATTTATCTTAAATGAATTCACAATACTTCTCTGCTTCAGTAAGCTTCTTAATGAATAGGCTGTAGCAAAATTCAGCCTTTGAGGCAATGGGCAGGAAAGGATGTGGAGGCAAGACTGACAAAACCGATCAGTCTCTAGGATAGATCATACTATGGAGAACATTTGGAAATTGCTGATGTAAAGAGGCAATCTGTGTTATTAATTGTGCTGAAATAAAAAAGGGGATGCAACTAACTACATGTAAACCTGCAAGTGATAGAGTGCAAGTGATAAAAGAGTGTCTATATTAAAAAAAAAACAAACACAAGAGCTCTCAGTTTGAGATGAAAGTAGATCTGCTATACAGGAACATTTAAAAATGTCACTGTGCTTAAAGAAAGGATATTGCCTCCTACCACTGTTCCTCATCAAATTCATGGCAGATCTTTGTGTGAACTAGGATTGTTTTCACAGATACTGTTCCTGGCTTACTGTTTTTCAGTGTGAGTGTGTCTGAAGAAGGATGGGAGGAACATGTCTGACTGAAATTCCTTCACTGTCATCTGAACTGAATAACAGCAAAATAAAGACCTTGTGATTTTGTCCCCTTCATCTTACAGAGATCTGTGAGCTAAACAACTCCTCTTTAGCATGGAAAACAATTCTTTAAGTCTTTACATAATGACATGAAAAAAACAATTCATGGTAGTTCAGGAATATCTATTTGTAAGAATTTGTGTTCCAGGTCTGTTCAATGTTGCTTCACACCAAACCACCATTTGTCAGTTGCTATTGTTTCCAACCAAGTTGAATTCAGATGCACACTAGAAGGAGATTTAAAGCCTCATCAGAAGCTGACCATAATCAACAAGTAGGTTCCTTGGATTGTTGTGTGTGTCTCTGGGCACTAGCGTATTGCAAAAGCTATGAGCTTCTATCTCACAGTATATTTATTTATGTTATGTTATGGGTATATCCACTTTCTAATTACCTCATCGCTATTTGTTCAATGGGGTCCTCCCTCCTCCCTCAATAAGTTTCTTTTTTTTTTCATTTTCACCCTCTTTACACTACCTTTGCTACAGACAAACCACTTGTTAGCTTCCAGTAGCATACCATTATTTCTTGCTGTAAATTCTCGAGTGTTTGCAGTACACGTAATTCAGGCCTCCTTTGACTAAAACTAGCATAAAGAATGAGGAATGTTCATTAATCTCACTACCACAGTGTAAGGTCTTTCAAGAAAATGGCTGAGGTGCTACCAACAGAAAATAAGATTTCTACCCTCTTTAATGAATCAGGCAGCCCCTTTATCTTGATGATTATAACTCATTCTGAACAATACAACACAAGGAAAATCTATGTGGAAAATCTGTGTAGAGTTCTGCTAAGCAGCTTTTCTTAAGCCCTATGCTTTTCATTAGCCTTTTCAATCACATCAGCCTAAACACTGTTTGATTATATATGAAACAAAGCTTCAGAAAATTTACCTATTTTTTCTCCCAGAGCTTCCAAAAATATTTTGTTCTTACCTGAATGAAATTTATTTTCTTTGTCATCACAGAAAAAATCCTGTAAAAACTTGGGCTATTTTCTTTCTTGGCAAGCTGGTATCATTTCAGTGACATAATTAAAATCCTTAAAGGTATGCAAATTTTCTTGAACCATAACTGGTTTTGAGCATATACAAACATAGTTATTTACTATTTTTATGCACCTCCTGCCAAAGATTCATAGTAAATAACTGACTGTACATTTTTTTTCTGTCTGAAGTGGTACTGAATAATTTCAATTTCTCAGGTCTTTAAAATCCTTCTGTACATTACAGGAAAAAGTGTTTTCCTTGTTGCTGGCATCAACAAGAAATAGGGCACCATTCCAAGGAGGTAACTCAACCATGGGGTACCAACAGCTGAAGAGAGAGAAATGGGCAATCGTTTGCACTGCTGAGGAAGTCACAGCATAGCAGCTGGAAATCACCTACAGAAAAGGAATATAGCTCTTCAGAATCCTCCAGGTGAAGGCTCTAAATGCAGAAACCTGTCATGCTGTGTTATTACAGGCAACATCTGAGACACTTTAAAGAGTCTCTTTTAAGAGACACAGTATCAATTACCTTTAAGTAGTTCAGTGAAGTTGTAAGGTGAATGGTAGCTTCCATCACTTACAAGCTGGTGAAATTACCTGGTGGATGAGGTCAGAAAAGGACCTGCAAACATGCTCAGCTGTAGAGAAGAACTCCTGGTGCAAAGCAGTTTGTTGGGCTGAAAAGCAGAATAAATTTTAAGTCTTTCTAAGCTTTTGGATGCTGCCAGAGCACTAGAAAACCCTTAAAGAATCTCTAAGATAACTCTGTACAAGCACCAGCTTTTTCTGTCATATTCCATATTACATCCTCATTATCAAAAGTGAGGCATCCTGAATGTTGAACAAAGCTCTGCTGTGTAAGACCTTTGATTACAAAGGGATTTTGTACTGCTGGAAGTCTCCTAGGACTAGAGTTATAGTTACAGAGTCACAGAAGTGGCAAGAGCAAAAACCTCTCATGCTCTCACCAGTTTAAGTTTGCTCCTTAATTGACTGGCAAGACTCATTAACTCTTAGGAGCTTTGATTCATCCAGTTCTAAATCAGTCTGAAATTAGGGGCTATATTTGGAATATGCTCTACCTTACTATATAGAATAATACTACAAAGGCTAAAGCAAGATTCTGAGTTTCCTCTGAGGGTTACATGACTATGAACAATATTATGGTATAAATGGGATGAAGGTAAGAAAACAGTGACAAGATGACTGGAGAACTTATACCTGGTTGAGTCTGGAGAGACAACGTGTCCTTCAGTTTCATCATTAGCAGTTCCAATTCCTTTCTCACTTCCTTCTCATCAGGTGGTATCTGCATTGCAGTGGGAATAAGAACTGTATTCCCCATTCCACCAAGAGAGTTTTCTGCCAGTTTAGGCAGATATGTTTGTTTCTCTTTTGCTTGTTTATGCTGTCCCATAAACGGTTTGTCATTCTGCAGGGACACTGACTCCAGTGGGTCATCTGAGAATGTGAAGCCCACTTCAGTGGGAACCTCAGGTGTCTGTAAAAGCTGCATTCTATTCACAGAGTTTGGGGGATTCAAAGATTTCCATTCTGCACATGTTCTGAAAATAGGCCTTATTTGGGCAGGATTTAATTCACTCTGCATTCTCCTTTCCAACAGAACATGTGGATTTCTTGGCATTGTATTATGACACTGTGCAAAAGGATGCTCTGATGACTGCAACATGGTCTACAATAGACAAAACACAGAAAATAAATCGTAAAAATAATTGGTATTTCCCTTTGCCAGCAGTACTAAAACAGTATTTTAGAAAATGCTACAAAAAAGCTGTAGGAGGAAAATATGTAAACATTTTCTGTGAAATAAGAGCCTTTTAAGAATCTCAGAAATAATTGTAATGATAAGAATCACTATAATTGAAAACAAATAAAATATTTTCTATAAGATGTCTGTATTACATCCCAGTAAAAGACAGCAATTAGGAATGACATTATAGTTATTCAATGCCAGCACTTTGACTCTTCTCTGAAAAACAGACTGCAATGAAGTATCTAACACTTCTGTTGGAAACTCTTTCTGGAATATTCATTATTTTCATTGCAGTAGTATTATTTAAATATGCTCATATGAATATCTGTGCTAGATGTCAGATATGCACAGAATGACAAGAAAATACATACTACCAAGACTTTATCTGCTTTCTCTGAAGAGAAGAGCCTAAGATGACTGAAAATACAATTGGAAGGTGTATGAAATAGTATTAAGAGTGCTGGTCTACAGGAAAAGCAGTTGTTAGTGTTCAGTAATGGCTCATAGCTGTGACAATTCTTGATATATATATATATCACTATACCTTTACTTCTTCCTTCATGTGCTGCAGTGTCATTTGCAGGTTTTTATGGCTTACTCTCAGGCTTTGCAGTTTTGCCTCTATTTTGCAGCTTTTTTCTTCCTGGCAGTTATGAAGAAATTGCATTTTGTCCTTCCATTTGTTGAACTGCTTTTTCATGTACCTACCAGAGATACAGGAGGGTGGGATTTTTGCTAGACCAGACATACACAAATATATGCATTCATGGAAATGAGCAAACACTTTAGCACAACCTTTATCCCCTTTACTAGTTCAGGAAAATTTTGTCAGCTTTGGGATTAGAGGCCAATATTTCAGAAGCTGGACTGGATCCATGGAATTAGCAAGAACATGAGTATTCCAAATGAGGAAATATGGGAGCTGAGTAGAAGTGTGGCCACATCTGAACCTTGCGTCTTGGGGTTTTACCTTTCCCACAAAGGTGGCTGCAACAAGAGAAACAATAGCTGTTCCTCTGCACAGAAGCAAACTACTTATAGCAACTCCCTGACCTGCAAAAGATTCCCATTACATGCATGGGCAACAATGAAGTAAAAGCAGGTTCTGCCCCTTTGATAGAATTTCTTCTTGCTGGTGGTACTCTCTGCAGTTTCTTCAATGATACCAATAGCTTTCAAGCACAGTCCATTTTGAAAAAGCACTCTGATTTTTGCAATCAGAAGTGCCATCCTCCTATGTACAACAGAGATTTAGAAACTACCTACTTAGAGCACAGTTTGACAGAAATACCACCCATAATTCTCTTCTAGTTGTGATTTCTCTAAGAAGTCAGGGTAGAAATAGTTTTGCTTTCCTCACAGCTGAGGTACTGACAGTAAAGTTTGTTAACACTACAGTAATAAACCAACTGCTTCATATGACAGATCTGAAATAGTTATCTGCCATGTTTAGTTACATTCAGAAGTTCACCTGATCCACTTTCTGTGGTAATGCTTTGGCTTAGAGACAGCAGCCTCATCACTTGAACTATGCAAGATTTGTCTGAATGGGACAGCAAGTCAGACCATTTAAAATTAAAATTAATACTACAGTGGTCCCTTATAACAATATTTAAGGGCTCCTCACTGTAAAATGCTGTCCTCCTTCGACTAACTCAGAGTCCAGTTCTGAGAACAGACAGGTGAATGCTGGAAGTCAGTCCACAGACAAGTGGACTGACTATGACTATGAGTAATGTGATTCATTTACGCAGTTCTATGATAAGCTCTGGGTCAGAGCAGCATTATAGGAGCAGGCATCCCAAATATCCTCTCAACGATTGCTAATCTAAAGGAAAGCTGAAGATCTTTGCCATATCTCTTTATTTTCCCAAGTGAGAACAGACCCACAATGAAATTGAAATTGTTTAGCTCTAATCTTGGAGTGCCCTTTTGTGAACTTGGAGCTGCAATTGTACTTGGAATGAAACAGAACAGGAACAGAGGGAACTGAACATACTGAAGAAAATAAAGAGAACAGATTCAGGATCGAATTCTACACTTTACTGTAATTCCATCATTTTCAGTGGTCATAGGCATGGTTATATAGAGCCCATTTATATACAACTACAAAGATGAACAGGGGGAAGGCAAAAATGCAAGTCAAAGGTAGGCATCATAGCTCACACACCAACTTCCCCCCTGCCATGTCACCCAAGCAAACAAGTCTCCCAAGAGACTATTAAATTAGGAATTAATATTTTACAGTGTCAAAGATTTGACTATCAGAAGGAACTTCCATACCTATAGTATTGTATTCATCCTATTAATCTCTATTTGTTGTACAGCATATTTTTTAGAAATGAATTCTACTTTGATTTAAAAGCTTCATGCAAATTATGAAATTTGTTTTGATTAAGCCTTATTCAGAGAAAAATTTGAAAAAGTATGTTATTCTGACATTTTTATCTGGATGAACATCTTTTTGTCTAAAAATTCCCTTTAGAAATATTAACTAGCAATTGCAGAAACGCTGATGAAAGCAAACCAAAAACTGTTTTGTTTTGCCATTGTTTTTCCAGTGATCTTCATCTAAAATTTTTGTTGCTGAGTTTTCATTATTCATCCTCTTTTGATAGGATTTTTTAAGTCTAAAAATCTCCAAAGTATGGAAAAGTTATCTGTCTTCTAGCCCTCCAGCTGGAACAGCAATGCCCACCAGTCTTCAGTGAATTTACTACAGCATTTACCTACCTGCTGTCACTGTGAATGCTTTTAATGGATTCATGCATTTTTAACACATCTGCTTCAAAAGAGGCTATTGCCTAAAAACAAAAGGAAGTATCTGTTCATAACTTTATGAGCAATAGCATTTCATTTTTGTATGCAAGTTTTATTATAGGAGTCCATGGCAAATTTTGGATCTGACAGATCTACAGATTTACTAGTTAACCTTTTTAATTTAATGTATTATAATCAACTGATGCATTAAAGTATTTCAAATGGCTGAAAAATTTATTCTATAGAACAAATTCTTTGTTCTATGACAAATTTAAGTGTATGAGAATTTGTTTGAAAATAGAACAAAATCCATATTCCTGATTTCTGCAAAATCAAATATTCTGATTTGGGAACAATCTCTCTCAAGTCCCACATCTGCTTTGAGACAAGAAGGTGTTGAAAGAGACTGTATATAGAAAAGAAAAGAGAAACTCCTGGTCTTTAAATGGAAGTAGCATTCTCTGGACCATGCTAGAGAACAGTAGCCCAGAAGTCAGGGAGACAAACACCTTCCAGCTAGATTACTTTTGAGCCATGATATAAGTTTGGCAGGAATCAGGGCTGCCAGGAAATTATGAGACTAAGAGCTGGATCAACCAGGACCTCCATACTCATAGATTCTATTAAAAGCGATCATTGTACTTACTGTCTACATCTTTTCAATCAAAGTGGAAATCATCTGCACTGTAAGATCTTAGAAATCAGTATAAGACTGCTCAAAAGGAATTCTCAGCCCAGAGAGAATATAAGAGAGCAAAGCACCTGACAGAATCCCAGCCCAGGGATGCAAGTCCTGTCCTGCTGTTTTCTAAAATGACAAATGCCAACCGTCAAAATTCTATGTTTAAGCAACATCTGCCCACAACATCTCGTGCAGATATCTGCTGGCTGGCACTGTACCTTGAGCTGGGCAGCAGAGTTCTAAAAGACAGGTCTTCCAAAGGGCAGCACAGGATTAGCAGCCAAATGAGTGACCTGATACACACAGGCTAGTATTGTGTTACTGCACCCCTTGGCTCCTGGGAAGAACAAGATGAGTGGATGACACAAACTGGTTTGAACACAACCCAGTGTTCCCTGTATTCTGAGTAAGTGCAGAGCCAATAACCTCTCAAAAATATAGAAACAAAAAATTGCTATGTACTTTTTTTTAGCTACACTGCCCTACCCACTCTTTTAATATTGTTTCTTTGGAGAAAAGCTGGGAATGGATTCATAGAGACCTTTTGTGCATTAGCTATTTTAGTTGGAGTGGACACTGCTCTGAGTTTATCCTAAGAGGGCCCATTCTGTCCTCTTGCTATTTCCATGGTAACAAAAATGGCCTGAGTCTGATAAGAATTCAGGTATTCTTCTTTGGCATTTGCTTGCAGTAGGAAGACATGATGGCCTTTTTTACTGTCAGAATAGCGAGAGGACTCCAGACTCATCTAGACTTTAGCATGCTACTCTACGACATCTCAAAAAACCCCAAGGCAAATATTCTTACAGGTGCTTCTGAAGGTCATGAAAGTCAAGGAGTTAGTCACTAATCTTGGGAAGACAACAAATTCAAACCTCACTAAGTTTTCCAGTTCCATATTTTTCACTGTAAGTGAGGAATTTACAGAAAGGTGAAGCTGCCCATTACATTTTCACTGAAATTAGAAGACAAATAGATAATTAACTTGCTAGGTCTCCTTCACAGGTTTAGCACTATTACTGCTTTGTGTTTTGCTCACCTGAGCTATTGTCTTGCCTTGCTCTGGTGTCATCTTGTTATTCTCACTCTTCTGCATTACAGTCCTGTTTTCAGGTATGAACCTGGGTGACTCTGGGACACAGTTGTCCACTGGGAAAGACACATTCTCAGGACCAAGTAGTGGTGAAGCACTGAATTCCACAGGAGGACTGTATACCAACAGAGAAGTAATGGGTAGGGAAAGGATCAGGACTCATTGTTTTTCTACCCAGGAAGACACAAATGCAGAAAACTAATGAATTGTAAATAGACAGACAGATGTGCTATTGACTAAGCAAGAAGTAAAATTTAGCTGTGCCTGCTGGCATATTTTGGTTAAAAGAATGAAATTCCTGAAAACAAATTCCACTCTCCCAACAGAATCTCAGCAACAGGTTGTTCTTTCCACCCATTTATTCTCAGTGCAATTTGCTGCTTCATTTTTTTGCTCCATTTAGCCAACATAACCTTCAATGCTCATTATTAACCACTGTGATGAGTGGAAATATAGTAATGACTTTAAATATTAACCAAAGCACAAAAAACAACTGGTCTGAAAGAAGAGGAATGGTGAGATCATCTACTTGCTATTGTGAGTGATTCCACAGGTCTGCAATTTAGTGGGACTTTAGTAGAATGCCTGCCAGTGAATGCACTGTGGGTCACATGTGGAAAGTATTCACAGTTAATTTCCAATGGATTTGTTACAGAGGAGGTGTTTAAGAACCCATGCAGTTGTAAAGGAAGTAAATATTTGCAATGCTTGGCCCTAGACTGAGTATAAGAAATGGAACAGAGTGAAAAATACAACATAAGGAAGGAGGGAAGCACAATACAAGCCTGTTATATTTTATAAGACAACTAATCATTAGGTTGTCAGCATGGTAACCATGGTTAAGCTACAGAACAATGTGCAGCAACTTCTCAGTTATTCTTTCCCTTTTTAATAGAAAAATCATGACATGGTATCTGTCATAACAAGGTCCCTTACTCAAAGGACATAATCAAGCAAAATCCCACAGCCTGACATGCAGAGATTATAAATTCATCTGACACCGAAACTCACGAAGTCTTTTTGTGAGCAGGGAAGTGCCTCTCCTGCACTGACTCCAGAGCCGTCCTTCTCTGAGCCTCTTTTCTTCTCCAGTGCTCTTGGAACAGGTTGTTCCTGATGGTGCGGACAAAGTGCTTCGCGTTCGCTTTTGCTGACATCTATTGGAATGAGGGATAATAAAGAAGAAAGTGACTTTTCAAACAGGTGCTGCCCAGAAACAGACATATTCCAAAGCAAAGGTCCATCTCTTCATCATCTGACAAGGCTCATGGCTGCTATCTGAGCCCTAGAAGGGGAGCTAAGGTGGGTAATGCTTGCAGGGCCACAGGCAAGAGCAGCTCCAATTCTTTTAGGCAAAATACTGACTGAATCAAAGTCAGACAGCCTGGAAATGCCTTAACACAATGATCAAGCTCACAGTCACAACAATAATTCTGCTGACTAGTATCTAAGGAAGAAATACTTTTATACTTGTATAAAGCATTTGTAGATATAGTCTTCCACGGCTCACATCCTCCTCTCACAGAATACAGTAAAATATACATCCATTTATCACAGGAGTGTCAGGCTCATGTACAACAACTAAGGTTAGTAGCTGTATTATTGGAGGACACCAACCAATTCTGCCTCAGGTGACTGCTGCAGAAGATGGGGTGAGCCCTGACAGACTGAACAGGAAAACAAAGAAAACACACCACATGCCTCCTAGTGCTTCTCAACGAGGTAGTAACGCTACCACAAGGTGTCAGCAAGGCAAAGAAAAACTGCTGATATTGCAAACCTCCACTCAGCTGCTCAATCCCTGATAAAGACAGTGTGAAAAGAAAAGGACAGCATCTGCTAAGAGTGGAAGGGATGGGGATAGCAACTTACTCCTGATTATTTTATGTCCCACACAATAGATATAAAAATGGTATCTGTCATGGTGAGTAGCTTATCTTTTAAATTTTGGTGTAGATTTTGGCCTGTATTGTAATATTTGGCCTATAAAGTAATATTTACAGGGGTTTTGTTAGAGTAGGGCTTCATAAAGGAAATCTAAATTCAGTGATTCAATTGCAATTCTGCAGCAACAAGGTGGCTGCAATCCAGGCTGCAACATCTCTTGCCTTGGTTTATCTCCTGTCCTTCCTTCTGGTGCCTCTACAAACACACATTCCCATTCACTCTCAATTCACACTAATTTTAAGGTCTCTACTTAGAAATCTCTTAATGAGGAGTTAATTTTTTATTTTCCTACTTTCTCACAGATGGAGTATGAGGAAGAATATTTGAAGGACTGAACTGTTATTTTTAATGCAGATATTGAGCATCCAGTTGTAATTTCTCGCAATGTAAGCAATAGGGTTTTGTTTTCAGAAAGAGAGCAGTGAAGTAGCAAGAGTTTAATGCTACCTCAGACAAAGGGTGACTACAAGAGCAGTCTAACAGTCTCTAGTTTTAATGCAAATACTGGCTACCCAGGTATCTTTCACATTAACTGCAGAGGATTGGGAAGGAGAACAGGAAGTATAGATTTCTAGGGAAACTTCCCTAAGTTTCAGCTCATTTACTGGAACAGAAAGATACAGTTATACAGATCCACAAAAAGCCCATCTGCAGCTGTGTGCAAGATCTGGAATCTCCTGCTCAAAGGAGAAGCCCATCTTCCAAACACAAATTCCCAGTGTTGTACTTTGTCACTAGTGTGATGATAGCACAAGTTGCCCCTGTAACAGAGTCCAGGTATGTGATCTTAGTTGGGCACATGTTACCTCTTTGTGCTGTGTCCCTGACAGAGACAAATGAGTCAGAAAGGTTTACAGTAAAGTGGAAAAACTGAAGACATTCAGAAAAGAGAGAAAAAGAAAGACATTTCAGGCAGGAGTTTTTATAACTTTAGAATTAGTGAATTTCTGGATGAGTCTGCATTGGGATTGGGGTGAAGGAACATTGGGACATTGAGGAGAATTTTCATAAATTTAAGGATTATCTGCTAACAGAAAATTTGCCATAAAGCTTCTTAAGATGAAGACTTGCACTGAGATATTCATAGCTCTATTCAGTTACTTCAGAATAGAATATTCATTCTAAAGTTAGAAGCCTGCTTTTGTCCTTTCCCTGTTTCCCTGTTCCCAGACTAATAATGCTAATATGTCATGGTCATTATGGCTAATACACACATAACTTTGAAATGCTTGTAGTTCAAGAATCCACTGCCTACTTGCCTCCATGGAGAACCACAACAGGGAATGAATCAGTACAACAGGGCTTTACCTGCACACAGTGTTCCACAACAGGATGTGATCTCTTATGTGGTTTGCAGAGACGGCCAGTGAAAAAGCAAGCTTGGCAAAGGTCAAAATTGAGGCACTTTAAACAGCGATACCTGTGAGAGAAAACAAAAGTATTTCTTTACCTCCTCACAAGTAAGGACTTGATGTAAGTAAGCTTGATTACTGAAAACTCAGATCCCTGGGCTCTGAAATTCAAAGAAACATCTTCGTTAGAATAATGATTTTCCTCAGCATTTTCTGAATTCAAGCTATTTTTCCCAAATGATTGAGGACTTTTCTCCGAACCCATCAGTGGTTTTGATCTTATTTATTTACTGCACTGAAATGCAGTCCATGGAAGAAACTGTTGTTCTAGCACCATTTCCCATTTTTCATAATGCAGTTACAACTTCATATGCTTCTTACACACCAGCTTACCTCTGTTTGCTGCTTCCATGGAGCTGTAATATTGACATAGGATGCATAAACAAAAAACGAAAAATGCAAGAAACTAAATCTGCAAGCTTACAATTAGTGAGAATATAGTAACAGTAAAATGCTTTTCTGAGCATTCTGGTTAGATGGTAATGGATAGTGTTCTTTTTATACCACTATGCCATTATATAACATTACTTAGATAACAAAGCTGCTAAGATGGAAAACTTAATGAGCCAGTTAATACAATTGGTTACAGGAAAAGTAATTAAGAAATGAGATACACAGGTTTAATTGACTTTACCCTTGGACTCTCGGTTTACCTGTGGCCAGTTTTCATGTTTGTGCTAGTGAGCTAAAGAGAAGTAGGATGAAGACTTGAGCATTAGACTGCAGTGGTTCTCTCTATCCCTCTTTTCCTGGTTAAATTAGATTACATCCAAAGCTTGTTACTTAGTATATCAGTTACAGCCTGTAAGGTATGCAAACAATGGTAAGAACTAATTGTGTGGATGCTAAAGACCACTGACACACCTGATGCCTGTAATGGGGAAAACTTTGCAGATTCTGCATCTAGCTTGGTGAGAAACCATTTCCGTGGCTGATAATCTGTAACATGTAGGGAGCCACAGGAGGACAGCAGGCTCTGATCTCAGCCAACACAGGAATTTTTCTTCAACAATAGCTGCATTCAGAACCTAGAAAAAATACATGTCTCAAGCTCATACATTCACTTGAAAAAAACTGGTGGTTCATCTACAATCTCTAATAAAAGCTCTGATACTGGATTTTGCTGGCATAAATTTTCCATTCATGTAAAATGTTACTGGGTTCCAAAGGTTTTGGAATAAATGCTAGAATCTTCAGTAGTATCTTACTGAGCATCTTTTCTATAGATACAAATCCTCCCATACTGTGGGACTGATGATCAGCCCTGCTTCTTAAAAGTAGATACTTGGGGATGTTATGTGGTGATACACTTGAAATTTTAATCAATCAGCAACATTCAGAATAATTTCCCAGGACATCAGAATTTCACTCACCCCATGGAAACAGTCATGAATCGCAATTTCCACACAAGACAGAGTGCAGCCTTCTCCCACAATGGCTGGGACCTACATCAAGAAGAAAGGCTCAGAAACACCTCAATAAAAAACAGATGTTCCCATCATGCTCTGCTGCGATGGTGACAGCACACAGATGGTGAAGTATCTATAGCAATGCCATTTTACACACTATTCTGAAGAAAGCCCGTTCATATTCATGCCATCAGTATGCAGTTTCACAGTTCAGGGTATGTCAGAATGATTTGTTTCCAACCACTTACTGTAATGGATAAACATACTATATTTCCACACTATACTCCTGAAGGACACTAAGTTTAAATCCCAGAGGTCATTTTCAGATCTCATTTTCAGTACCAGTTCAGCTGGAAATACCTGTATGCTAAGGCAACTTGCTGCAACTGCAAGCTGTTCTAGTGAGTACAGACATCTGAAGTTTGGAGTTGCTTTAGGAACAGTTGTATCCAGCTGTTTCCAGGATCTGTAAGCTCAGGCAACAGAGCATTCACTAATAAAAGTGGCTATTTTGAAAAAAAGGACAGAATTTGATTCTTTTACCTACTTTGTATGACAGCTCCCTATACCCACAGTGTCTTATTAACTTCAGTCCCATAAGGTAATCAAACATAAAAGGTATCAACCATGAGGGGTTTTCTTCTGCTAGGTTAGTACTCTCCTACAAAATCTGTTGAGTAACAGCACTGCACTGACATTACCTGATTTAAGTCTGTTAGAAGGCTTCTCAGGGCACTTTGGGTAATCAAGGTCTCCTTCCCATCAGGGACAGCATAAAACTGGAAGAAAGCTGAAAACAAGGAAAAAAACCCTGGAATCCTGGCAGAGTCTGAACTGTCTTCAAGCTATCTTCAAACTGCTATGGTAACTGCAGTCTAACAAAGAAACCCTTCCAGAAAGTTTCACTATATTTTGTACCTAACAGGCTCTCAGTGACTGCTGTGACCATAGTTTTCCCTACAGTGAGGGAAAGAGAAGGAAAGCAAGGAAAAAAGCAATGAACTCATTCTTACAACATTAGGAAAAATATTTAAATATGTTTATACAAGAAGTGGTCTATTTAAATTGTGAATTGCTAATTTAAAACCATGGGGTTTCTGTTATTTTCTGCTAGGCAAATAGAAGTTTTACTTAAATGTCACTATAACCTCTTCTGAGGCTCTCTATTGCAAAGATGGCTACAGATATTGATTGGAAAGCATTATTCTGCATCAGCCTTTCTCTACAACTAAGCAGTCAACATAATTTACTTTTTTCATGGCAGAGCTTTTATTTTAAAATAAAAAAAAAAGATGGTGGAAATTTTCCTCAATGTTCAGTATTTCAGATAGCGTATAAAATCATACATTTCCCACCTCTGTATTTAGCCAGTAGAGTATCTCCTGAAAGGGAAATTAGGGCAGCTGCAGCAGATCTAGTTCTGACATACCCTGTTCCAGATCTAGGAAAATGAAATAAGTTACACTATTCTCATTCACAGAGAATATAAAGACTGAAACATCTAAAGAATGGAATACTGCTATGTAGGAAGAAAACTTCAAAACATGTATCCTTTTATATGTATAAATGTAACCAAAGTAACATTTCAGTAATATTTTATGTCTAGAACCTTTTGTCACTGAAAATAACTGCAGAGTTAACTGTTCCAAGATACCATGCAATCATAAAACAAAAAGAAAACATCTCCTTCAGAGACTTCACATTCCAAGTAAAATGTAATTTTACATTTACAATGTATGTCCCAAAAAAAATCTGCTCTTTTTATTGTGGGAAGCCTTCCCAAATACAGTACTGAATAAAGGATACAATCTAAGTTTTGCATATATCATCAGGCAGCTCCACTGTGGCCCCAGATCTGCACTAAGCTTCTCTTGGGCTGATTACATTTAATTTCACTGAAACTCAATTTAATCAAAAGGATCTATGGAGGAGCAGGACATTTAGTTTTGACCATTAGATAATAATAACGTAGATTAATTTAGAACCAAATTTTGTGACATAGGCACCTAATGAAAAACACTAATTTTTTTTGTGAAGACGATGCAGACATTAATCAGAAACCACAAATCAGGAAATCCCAGAAATCTATATTTAAGATTTTACTTTTGCAAAGATTCAAAATATGTCTTCAAGAGTCTTTAGGTAAACCCACACTGTGTAAAGCTGCAATACCGACTCTCAAGTATGAACTGCATGGGAAATTGTTGTTTTTCCAGAAATTTCAAAGAAAAAACTTCAAGACTAAAGCTGAAGTCTTGCACCCTTAAGATGTTTATGTAAGCTTATTAAGTAAATACCACAAAAACATGGAAAATTCCTATGTGCTCTTCCTATTAAATACTTTCCAATGTTAATAGTGGACAATAGCACTCTATAGAGAAAACATTATTAGAAAATTATAAGAAGCTCTTCCTATCTTATATACACGTCAAGAAACTTATTAAATTCTTTTTTAAAAAAGAAATAGCAGCAAAAAGAAAATGGCACCCCTAAGACATCCCTTAGAAAACAGACTAAAAGACTAAGATAGTACTATTAAGAAGATTCTTCTACATCATTTCCCTACGGCACACAAAAATTACAAAATACTCTTGATGTTTCTAGCTTTATTTCTTATAAAAGCACTTATTCTTATCCTTAATGGAATTTCTTACAAAAAAATTTGATAAAGTGGGACCTTTAGCAGTAATGATCATATGAGTAATGAATAAAGATTCAAGAAAAAGTTCTGCAGACCACTTACATCTCATTTACTTTCAGTAAAAACTTTACTATCATGTAGAAGGGAAAAATTTCACCTGTGGTAAATAACTTGTACAACGAACTTAGTCTGTCTTTTAAATCTGATACAATCACAAATCAATCCTGCCTTTGGTGAAATAACTCATTATTTACAAACAATACATAAGAAAAATACACTCTGTGAGGTGTTTCCTTATTTTCAGAAACTGTGCTATTCACTGAGCTGCTCACCTTAGTTATGACACATCAATTTTGTTTCATAATTGGTAGATTAACTTCTTAAGCTAGAGGAAAATGAATAACAAAAAGTGACTGGCAAATTCCTGAACTGTGTATGGGTACTGTTCTCCTGAGAGAAATATGGATTCATTTCTAGGAGTGTACCAAAATATCTTGGAAGTCAGATGAAAAGCTACTCTGTAAAGCTGTTCAGAGAAAAAGTCAGCATGGACTGGCAAAGATAGTTTTGGGAGCATTTGAGCACTGTGTTTCTGATGCAGTTTTGTGCCTTATATTCCTACCGCTGAACTACTCCTAGTTTTTATACAAAGCATAACCAATCAAAATGGGAGAGTTTCACACAGAAATGGTGTGAGAGTGGTAGAAACAAACTTAGTCTAGCTCTACTTTGGATGGGAGCAATATGTCCTGTCCAAAAACACATTCTTTAACTCTACAGTACTTCACAATGGATCTACGTTTCTTCTTCTTCTCACCTGTCATACATGGCAATCAGCAGGCCCAATGTGAATTCAGCAGCTCTTGGATCTACCTGGCCTGGTTTTTCTGACCTTGCCCTTTGGAAGAGCTTCATCAGCATTCTAGAGATTTGCTGCCTGTTCAGAGAAATCCGCTCTTCCCTCTGGCTTTGTTCACTTGATAGGATGCGCTGAATCAGAGAAACGTCAATCAAATCCACTGTGGAAAAATTAAGGAAGAAATGAATGAGGGTCCCTGCCTTTTTATGAATGGAAGCATGACTATTTTTCACCAGAAATGCCTAGCTAAGACAGGCATGTAAAATGAAGCCTAAAACAGCACACCACATAAAAAGAAAACCAGTACCTGTGGTACTTCTACATTGACACAGAGCATCAGGCAGATGCTCATATGATTTATACCTCAACCATATCAGGAATGAGATCAAACTAAATGTATTCATAGAAAAGCATCCCCAAATGAAAGAAATATGTCCAAGGCCAACAAACTAGTCACCTTCTCTGTGTTACCCTGAAGACCTCATTTGCAATGTTGTGCATTTTCAGCACAAATAAAAAATTCAAGATTTCCATGAAATTTAGCTCAATATGGAATTTACATCCAGTAATTTCAAAGTGAGCTAGGTGACCAGGACTTTGTTGCACAACTCTTTGATTGCACTGAATTCTCCCTCATTTCAAAGACACGGAGAATGAATACTAACCAGAAGTTTTCTGCTCTATCATGTTCTATTTTGTTCTCATTAATTCTTATAGTCCAGTCAATGCATTTTCAATAAGCCATGATTATTTCCAATAAATCAGCTCCTAAGAAACACATTAGAATTTGACTTTTCAAGACCATAATAATAGATTAATAATTGTCAGTGATGTCTACATAGTATTGCTGCAGATGGTAGATAAACTTTGATTCTCTCATAATTTTAGAATTTCACTAATGTATTTCCATTGACATTCAAAAAGAAAAAAAATCAATTTGTATATGAAGCACTATCTATATCTTAAGTGTTCCTAATCCATTCTGAAACTCCAAGGTGGAAAATGAGAGAGCAAAGTAGCATAATAACTCATGGTGACAGCAATGCAAATTTGATACAGATTCTCCTCCCTGTAAAAGCATAGGGTTCTCTTTGGCTACTAACGCTGGCAAAGACTTTGTACTGAGCGTAGCTTTAGGGCTGTTCTGTATACGGAGCTCTCAACATCACTGAAGGCCTCTGTGAAAGAAAACAAACACACATTACAATTGAGTGGTTCATTCAAAACTAACTAAAAATCAAAGCAACCAAATTTGGAGTTTCAAGTTGATCAACACTCTGAAGAAAAATTTGGGGGAAAAAAACCCCAAACAAATAAAACACATTTTCTTTTTTAAAAAATAACTTTGTGGGGTGAACAATCTTCTTGTAAACAGTAACACCATCTCTTGTAAAATCAGAATTTAACATAGAGAGCACATCTGTTTCTTTGGGAATCAAGTTTATTCATATATCAGAACAAGGCCTGTGAGGGTTATGCACTGCACAAACTTTTAGCCAAGATCATAATGAAATAATATTTCTTCACACAAATAGGTTTTTTGATCAGAGATGCTCTTCTTCAAGGAACAGTTTGTCAGTTTGCACAGCAGGGTTATTGTTTTGGATGCATATTGTTTCAAGCACCAAACAAATCTTCTGTCAAGATCAACATGTGGGACTCTTGCAGAAGAAGACAAGCCCTTTACCAGAGCAAATTACTTTTGACATCTCTGTTTAGCAAACCCACTCAATCTGCTTGACTAAATCCCATACCCTTATATGATTTCAGCTTATTTCTTTCACATCAAGAAAGGATGCTTTTCTGAGTGGAAAGTAAGAGATGCTGATTGTGACCTATACCTAATACTTTACACATACCTAGAACTTCAAGACCAAAAAACAAGCTTGTTCACTAAACTTCAGAAACTAGAAAGGGATTTATCAGTTATCCTTCTGTCCTCAGAGACTCTTTTCTCCCTGTACTTCAGAGAGAGTTACACACAGTTGATTAAGGCTAAAGATAAGCAATAAATATGTATAAATGAGTAGAAATAACTCACAAAATACTTAACCTGTTCAGTCTGGAAAGGCGCCAATCTGTGTGCAATGGTTTCCAAGAAATACACCAGATTAATATTAATAGTCAGCAAATTATGAGCTCTTCTGGTTCCCAGATGCTGCCTAAGCTATAGAAAGATGCCAATAACTGCTATACCATCTGTTTAGTCCTGCTCTTGTCATGCTATGTTTTGTGATATTATTTGGAGATGCAATGTAGCATGTCATAGAATGTGAAAAATGAGTTTTGACTTCCACGCATCATCAGTTCTCTTTCCTCAATAAACTGATCCAAAGCCCTTTTGAAAGAAACAGAACAACTCCCACAGTTTTCATTAGGCTATGGATTAAGTTCCACATGCTTATTCTCAAATACAAATGCTAGAAATAGACACATGATTCAACTCAAACACCTTCCATGCACAAGATGATTTTCAAATTGAAGAGAATCTGTTTTAGTAGCCATCTGCTACTTAATTCTAGTCCACCCTTACAAACAAAATGTGGCCTCAAAGTAGGGCACTCTGTGCCTGTCAAACACAGTTCCAGAATTAACTTGTGAGGACACATAAGTAAAATAGCAAATTATTTTAGAATTACTACTGATGAGAGGCTATTTAGGGGCATTAAAATATTTCATTTCTCATAGGAAAGGGGCTTCCCCTCTGGACAGAAAACCAGCATGTAATCATTCTGCTGTGGGTCAAATTTCACCTCAAGAAATATAAATGCCCTTTGTAGAGAAGCTGACAAAGGAGTTCCTGCACACATAGAAGTGTGCTGATTCCTGACATCTTCAGCTGGTTACCTGCTATGCTGCATTTTGAGGTGCTCTGTGGCAGATGAGGTGTCCGCTGAGATTTTGCACTCAAAAAGGGAGTGTATGGCCATCTTCATGCCTATCCCAAAGTATGAAAAGCACCTTTGCATTTATTATAAATTAGAGATCATGGCCCTGTGTGCCTGACCATTCCATAAGCCAATGTGATAGTGGCAAGGAAGGTGCCTGGACACATCCAACAATAAAGGTAAGACATCACAGCTCTGTAATTTGTCATTTACGTGCTACAGCATAGAGATTCTCAAGGTGGCATGATTTCATTAAAATTCAGTAGTTTCTGTTCAAAAAGACACAGAAACGCCTTTTGAAAAAAGTTGGGGAAAAATAAGAAAAATCCTTACCCTGCAAGTCTGGATCCATTTGAAATTAACAGATGGCATTAGGCATTCTATAACAAAACAAACCAAAGTGTAAAACCACATATTCTACACAGAGACATATTGAACCATTCAAATTAAACCTTTTAATCTGAACAATTCACTGGATGCATTTCAGAAATTAAATTAAACAGAATTACATTAAACAAAATAGTTTTGGTGCCATGTGCAGAGAAATGCCAGCAAATGGCAAGCTCTCTGCTCAGCATAAAATAGGAGTAATTCAAGTAACTGCAAAACTGTAGCAGGGCAAAACCAATCCTCAAAACAGTTTTAAGTACAGGAAATGAGATCTTTCACTATGAAGAGCTCAGTGTTTACATGCAGGATTACTACATGGTCCAATGTAAAATTTCAGGTCACAGAGGGCATATCTACACCAGACTCTTCCTCAGATTCACTGATTGCAATTATTCAAAAGTATTTTCTAAAATTTCAAGTAAAACTAAAGTTTTAGGCTGAGCTAACATTATTTCTTATTGAGCTGTTATGGAAGGGGAAAACAAAGCTTAACCATGTACCTACTTACATTAACAACTGTGAAAGCAAAAGTAGTTATATCTCTGCAGTAGTGGAAACTGAATGTCTCCCCTCAGGATTTATTTCACTAATGCTCTAAACTACATATATTTCCAATCACAGAAATGTAAGTATGAATTAACTAGTAGTAACTATCTTTCAGCTAACACTGCAATTGCAAAACACTAGGTATAATGGATCTAAGTCACACAAGATTTCAAAGGCAATCTATATAATTTATTGTGCAGAACAAAGGGAAAGTTTGCTAAAATAAATAAAAATTAAAGAGTTGGAAATTATCTAAAACTTAAATAATAAATTCGATGTTAAATCTGAACTTAAACAAATGTTCACTTCTTACATTTTTTCAGTTAGAATCATTGATAATTTGTCATAAACATGACAGAATACTGGCCATTTATGAAGCATAAATATTCAATGATCTAAAATTACTGAGTCTACCATAAATATGCTCCTTACCATTTTAATTAGTGAAAGCTGCAATTTGTGTTTCAGTCTCTAAATTTCAGCCATAACCTAAATTTAGATGCTTAAAATATTGAGATACAGATTTGTTTTAATAGTCTTTTTCATTCAAGACTACAATGGCACAGTTTTTACTGTAGTCCTTCTTTGAAAAAAATACCACGTTTCTTTTCCACTATTCTATTTTCTTTCTTACTAAGGGTTCTGCAAAACAACAGCTCTGCCCAGCATTTACACAGGCACATAAGTTTGTCTATAGATAGATATTCATATGCAATATATATGAAAATATGATACAACTGTTCCTAAAATAGCTGCAGTAGTAGGAGTCTCTGCATAACTTGACAGAAAAGTTCATGTACAGAAATCAGTGAAATCAGAAGACACAGAGCAATGAATTAAACATAAGTGTTTGGTGAAAGCTACATGTAGCAATCTAGAAGGTAGACTTACAAATGCACAGCTTACCTCCTTTATTTTCTCTGTACCAGAGGTACATAAAATAAAGAAAGTGGACAGGATGAATGTAAAAATATTCAGTCGAAACTCACTTAAATTAGAACTCATTAGAATTTGCTCACTCAAATAAGAACAGATCCACTGACTTACTGAGTTATACAGCATGCATAATATATGAGTGCTTGATACTTACTGTAATATGACCAGATCTCTGTCCAGTACAACACAATGTCTATCATTTAAATCACCCATATGGAAAAACACACTATAGTCTTGCACTAGGGTATTCATAGTCTCAAAGTCAACCACGTATTTCTGTGTTTTACCAAATTACATCATATCTATGAACCCTCCTTCCAAAAAGTTACAGAAGACATTATTAATGTATGTACAGTCTACACTTTCATATACAAAACTCTGTGGACAGTCCAGATCTTGACTGCAGTGGGAGTGCCTGGGTGAAACAAAGAGAATCTACTTCAGTGTTAGCACATGAACACAACGTGAAAGCAGAAGCATTATCTGCTGCCCATGAAATCTGAAGTAACTTTGCCCATTGACACACTCTTTCAGCCTGTGTTATATATCAGTTCCTTGTGTGTTTTAATAGTGAAAAACACTTAAGAAAACAAACAACAAATTAAAATTATGTACAAATACTCAGGAAGTAAATTGTTACAGTTAACAGTCCTGGTCCCATTAACATGAATACTCTTATGTGCAAAACAAGGATAGCCTTTTTCTTGACTCTTAGTGGAATGTGAAAGAAAAGTAACACTTGACTACTTACATGTACTTTGTTTGACATATAGGTTCTCAGAATATGTACTTTAGCAAATAAAATGTGTTTTGAAGCATGTTACATAATTAAATTAAAGTTCAGAGAAAGAGGAGCCACATGAAGTAAGGCAGAAACCTCCCAGCAGATCAATCAACTTGATCACAGAGACTTTTCTTTTGAAATCAGACAACATATGATGAACATCTTAAATATGCATAAAAGAACCTACAGTTACTTATGTTTCCGGTGAAGGGTGAAGATATTCTATGTTTTATTCAAAGGCCAAAATTATTGTCCCCTCTTAAATACAGTAGCTGCGCTTACCTTCCTCTCATTACTTACTGAAGGTCCAGAAGTCAGATGACACTGCCAGAGAAGTCCAGTAGTTTTACAGCACTTAAAAGTTGACTTCAAGACACAGTTCTAAAGGTTTTGCTTTTAAATTAAAGCTGCTCACAACAAATGCCTAGCAAAGGCCCAGATCAAAGTATCAGGTAATTGTCTAAGCAGTCAAAACAGAGAACACTAATTAATTAGTAATAAATATCCTGAATTATTAAAGATAAAACTTCTTTGATCTTTGTTTCAAAGCTTTTTTTTTTTATGGTTGGAGTGCAATATTTCTAAATTGAGAGGCCTTTACTAAGCATCTCCCAGTTGCTGAGAAACTGTTGCTATAGAGACTGAAAATAAGGTAGAAGCTGACAGAGTAATGCAGAAAGCACAGTGTGCTGTAACAAAGAGTTGGGGCACACAAAGAAGAAAAATAGTAAGCCCTAGTGGTAATGTCCTAGAACTAGAATTGTTCAGACCAACCACAAAGCTCTTCAGCATACCCGAATGCTAGGGTTTAAGAGGAATCTATATATAACATTTGTAAGACACAACTTAAAGCCCTTCTCATACATTTTTCAATGGTTACCGTAACAGCCAGGTAGAAAGAGTCATCGATACCATGAATATCCTGCATACATAACATGACTTAGGGACTTGGGAAAAAATGTGTCCCAGAAATTGCTTATTACTTACAGAAAACCCAAACGTACTGATGACTAAGTCAATTGCTGTTTTATAGCTGTAACCAACGTTGAATATGTTACCATATTTTAGCTTTCCTATTATTTTTTTCTTTCTTTTCCTCCTAAAAAAAGCTAGGAAAAAAACTTATGCTTCACTTCACTTATGCTTCATGAGAAAAGACCTGAATTCCCCTGCAAATCCAGTTAGAATAATTTAGGATACACAAGCCATCCCAAGCAGCTTTTTCTTTCTGCTCCCGCTGTCTGAGAAGAGAGGTTTTCAGCTGGTGACTCAGAAGTCAGATAGGTCTACTTATATATAGCAGAAAAAGGTATTTTCCCTCTCATTAACAGCTGTGCACTGCTAGTGCTTGACCTGCAGGTTGTTTGAACTATCTCCACTGGCAGAATAAAGGAATTCAAAGACTAAGATTGCTAAAGCCTATTCATATAGAAAAAGCCCAAATGTAAATACATATTAGAGAAGCTAACTTTTCTATCTTGGAAAATGAATTATAGAAAACACAGGTAGTTTGTAGAGACTACTGGACTGGTAGCATCCCTCCCTGCTATTTTCTCCTGAGACAGCTGCCTCCAGATGCTCCTCAGAAACTCAGCCAATCTTCTGTGCATACACTACTGGAAATTAATTCCCTGGGGACTACTTCCCATGAAATGAATGGTTCCTAACACTTCTCTTCAAGTCTTTTTACAACACCTACCTCTACAATTTCCATGTGAACTATTCCATGAAGATACTTACAATAATATCTCAATTCCTCTAAATGTTGCTTCTCCCATATACACTTTGCATAGAATCCCAGATTCTTCCAGACCACTTGTGATACTCCAGCTCTCTGAGCTCCTCTTTCTAAGACCAGCAAGACACCCCTCCCAGTCCTGTCCTAATCAGACAGTAAATTATCTTAGTTTCCTCATATAAGAAGTCTGCCCCTATTCAGAGCTTGAACAGAAATAATGAATTTATTGCAACTATATGTAACTGATTCAAAGAACAGGAAGCTTTCTATTTTGTTTTAAACATATCTGATAAAAAATTAGCAAGTACAGGAACATCATTAACACAATCTTCATCATTTAAGACACCAAAGATGCAAGTAAAAGTGGTTCCTGAACAATTCCGTTAAAACAAGAATTTAATTATGTTTGACTTAAAACACGAGTATTCTCTTGAAACTCATTAAATAAATAAGAAAAACATGGAAACAAAGATGAACTTGTCACTAAGGAGATGTATAAACATAATTTTTGTTTAAAAATCAAATTTTCCTAAGAAGATATTTTATTACAAAAACACTGTGTTTCAGTACCTCTGAAAAAAATATTTGTAATTACAAAAACTTCTACTCACTGTATGTGACAGTCCTCAAAATTTTCATATGAACATTTTAGGCATTAAACTATGTTTTTGCAATAGTTTATTGGTCTGAAAAAAACCACATGGTTAGATGCAAATGAAATCTTAGACTCATTAAAATCAGTAGAAATTTTACTTTGATCTACAGGTTAAAAATGTTACATTCATGCCGGTTTTGAAATTTTTTTCCACCTAGAGATTTCCCAGATTTTTTTAAGGAGGAAAATACTGCAAAAGCTACAGCAATGCTTAGACTTTCTTTCTAGTTTGCTCTTTTGGGCAATGGAAACCTTATTTAATATGAGAATTTCCAGCATTTTTTTCTCCAGAAAACTCTAGCTAAAGTGACCCAGTAGGTAAGGTTTCCATTTCTGTTTAAAAAAAAAGGCAAAACATGAGCTATTTTTGCTAGCCTCCTAAAATACTTCCACATGCAAGGAGATAAAGCAGGGCACTTTGGGAATACTTGAACACCTGATACTGATATCACAGGAGAAGGCCACAACTAAGCACATTGCTGCTAGCAGTGTTCAGGCCTCTGCTTAGCATTGCATGCTGACACAAGAGGAACAGGACAGCTCTACAGAACAGCAGTGCCATACAGGTAGAGAGTAGACAGAGAATGACACTCTTATGTCATTGGGAATTCCCTGTCTGGGTTAAACAAGGTCATGGTTAGCCAAATAATTAAATCCTGCATTCACGAAGAATGTCCTACTGTGTCTTTAGTCCTTTCCCAAAAACCAACCATGGAAAACCAAAAGGTTTTGTGCTCAGTAGAGGCTCTGGGTATCTAACTCGGAATAGTTTCCCCATTCTTCAACTCGTCCTTAATGGCGAAGAACAGCTCATAGTAAAGAATAGGCTGATATAAAATTCTGGGAAGAATCTGAAGGAAGGGAGAAAGAAAACAAAGCAGGGAAAAGGTCTGTAGAAATGAAAATTAGAAAGAAATTGTGAGAACATTGGAAAAGAGCAGGAATTTCACAACCTGAAAATAGAGAGAAAAGTGAAAAAACAAAACTAAAACATGATTTAGTGTTTATCTGTTCTTCTTTTGATGAACGAGAACAAAACTTGAAAAGCAAAATGATATGAAAAGCAGTAGAGAAACATGTGGGAGAAGACGTGGAGTTTTCATTCTGCTTCATATGGATGCATTTCATTTATTTCCTTTAGTGCAACGAGCTTTTCCTAAATGGAAGAAAAAGCATATTTTAATACCACCCATTCTTTTAATCTGCACTAATTTCTCGCACAAACTTAAAATATGTTAAAACAAAGTAATCCTTACAAATTACTAGTATGACTGAAGATCACAGAACCTGATTAAAGCTGGAATGTAGAGTACTGAAGATCACAGAACCTGATTAAAGCTGGAATGTAGAGTTTGGGACCAGTATTTTTAAAAATTTCAATAGTACAAATAAATTATTTTTGTCTTACTAAGTGACAAGAAGTTCATTATGAAAATAGTACTCAAGGATTTTGTATTTTCTGAAAAATCCCTAATTCTAGTAAGGTCTGGCCTTCATTCATGCAAAGTCACAGCCATAAATATGCCAAAAGATATGTATGCTAGCATAGAAATACTCTGAATACCATATAAGCAAAATCAACATAGAATGTAGAAGCATTAAATGAAATATTCCTGTTTTGCACAAAGCCTGCAGAACTTTGGGGTGCAAATTCAACATGTACATAGGTAAACTTATTTTATCATCTCCTTTTGGGCAGAACAGTTGTCTGTTCATTTCAATACACAAACCTTACCTTACACTTATAAATACCCAGTCTTTACCATGCCTAAGTGCATGTGTACAGTTTGTACATCTAACACTTACAGGTCTGTGCTCAAAGTTGTATCACAACGTGCCCATAGGTGGCAGAATGGGCATACACGAGACTCAAGTAACCCTCACCTGAACCAGCTCGTGGGCTAAGCGCCATAGAACTTTTTGGGTGGTTTCATTAATTTCTAGTTCTGTCATGGCTTCCCAGTTACCATTCTGGAGCCTCACTGGCATAGAGAAGATAATTCCTTCAGGAATGCAAAACTGACCTGAAGAAGAGGGGGGAAAAAGGACAAAACGGATTACATTCCGGATTACATCCTCACCAGTGTCAACACTAAGTCCTACAGACTTGCAAAAGTCTACAACTGTAAGATCTCATTATAAATGGAGACTGCCTTTTTCAATCTACAGTTCAAAAAATAATGTCCCTTTTACTGTAACTTTGTACTTTAGTTAGATGTGCATGAATTATAGCATCAGATGGGTTTGGGCTGCAAGAGACCTTTAGAGGTCTCTAGTTCAACCCTCCTGCCACGGGCAGGGACATCTTCAAATGTATCTGAGCCCCATCCTAGTTGACCTTGAATGTTTCCAGGGTTGAGACGTCTCCCACCTCTCTGGGCAGCTTGTTCCACTGTCTTATCACATTAATTGTAAAAAAACTTAATTATATCTAATCTAAATTGACCCTCCTTCACTTTAAATCCATTGCCCCCTCTCTATTGCAACAGGTCCTGCTAAAAAATTTGTCCCCATTTTCCTTAGAAGAACTTTTAAGCACTGGAAGGTGCTATAAGGTCTCTCCAGAACCTTTTCTTCTCCAGAGCCTTTTCTTTTCCAGGCTGAAAAACCTCAGCTCTCTCAGCCTGTTTTCATAAGAGAGGCATTCATCCCTGTGATCATTTTATGAGGCCCTCCTTTGGACCATCTCCAACAGGTGTCTTTCCTGTGTTGTAATAACACAATTGTGTGTCAGTTGTACATCTTAAAAAAGGGGAAAAATTATTGATTTCATAAGGGTTAAATGGCTGTTGTGAAATATTCCATTAATTGGTTTATATAATGACACAAGAAGAACACACTTTCATAGCCTAGGCTCTAAGAATTATAAAGAGTTCTTGCACAAAACACATACATCAGAAAAGCATTTAAACAAAAAGACTAAGAGATCATTTGCAAA